CTTTTTTTGTGCTTCATTCTATAATTCATTGCAATAAACTTCTTCATTTGTCTTCTTATCTACAATTTTCTTCCTTTTTAACTATTTATTTTCCGTACTAAATTATTATTCTTACTTTTTCTCATACATATCCTGAAATATCATATATTACTGCTCAAGAACACCCGTCTAATGATTTATTTGCTTTTTCAATTCTGAAAGTATAACAACAGTTGTACAGACTTTTCGATGATATAATAATGAAAATATCTGACAGCAGCTGATCTTAAAGAAATGCAAGGATTGCAGTCTTTAAAGGCAGTATGGGTAATATTGGTTATGCTCATGAATGTGATGTATAGCGTGTCCAGAAAATTGCTAGGCAAAAAATAAAATTTGAATACCTTCGCCATATTTTCACCATATGGACTGATATTTTTAGCAATGATAAAATTATGTTAATAGTTCATTTTCATAAGAGAAATATAGTTAAAAGGCATTTTGAAGCATTTAAAATTGACCGTAACATAGAACTGTTGCCTTTCACAAGTTATGGAAAAACAATATATTTATTCGCTTAGCCAAGATTAAATGATATTTAATTTTTTCAATTATTCGCTCACACTAGCGTTGCTTGGACTCATATTTATACTACAAATACATGTCATATTACTTTGTGTAGTCTGAAAGTTTCAGCCATACAGAGCAAGAATCTATTGATAAAACGACAATGTCAATTTTTCATCACCCGTGAAATGTTATAGATCTTTTGGTGAAGTCAGTTATCTTATATGAAAACAATTTTTGAGAACGTTTCTCTTATAAATATGAACTATGAACATTCTTCGATCAGTGGTAAAAATATCAGACCATTAGTGTCCGACTTGGGTCGAGTCGGATCGTGTCGGATCGCTAGCAATTGACCGATTTCGAACCTTTTATAAGACAAACGACAATTACAGACGAGACAATAGTGTCTTTGTTTTGAATATTGAGAGAGGTTATATAGATACACTGAAAAGATTGTTAATCTGTGAAAAAAACTCGTCTTTCTTGATAAAAAAATATCTTGGACGTCGGGTCGGGTCAATAAAAAAACTTTTGACCTCGGGTCTGGTCGTGTTGGGTCACGAAAAATTGATCCATGTCGGAGACTACAGACCATGTGATTGAAATATGGTGAGAAATTGAAATTTTTCTTTGTCTAGTGATTTACTGAACACTCTATATAGTAGCTCAATGCTGTTCTGTACAGCTTGTTTAGTAAGATCAAAATCTAGTTAAAAGTATTTCTATTTATAAAATAGTGAAAAAAATGAACTGTATTTTGTTGTCATGCATTAAGAGAAAATTCAATTTAGGAAAAAAATTGATGCAAGTAAACAACAACATCGGAGACTCGCGCTTTTAAGGATCTAAATTGGAGCCGGGAGAGTAACAATAAAAGCTTCGAACCGTGCTTTTTGAAGAAAAAACATGTACTAAAACGACGCGCTTTGGTTCTCAGGAACGCATTCTTGAGTGACCAACTTCACACAGAATATGTAAGGACATAGATGATGTCGTGCGAATAATATTCATATGCAGTTTATGAAAAATTTGCACTATCACTATGTAGTATAATAATGATTTTGTAGAAAAATAGGCTTTTGAAAAGTTTACCAGACAGCCTCTTGTAGGGAAGCCAACTTAAACTTTGTACCAAGTGCAGACACAGACAACCACCGTTCGTCAGCTTTATTGATTTAGGTGACTAGCAATAAGAAAACGCGTTCCTTGATCAGAAAAATGCCTTACTAGGAGAAGAAAAGCCAACAGGACTGAACGCATTTATCTCTACCAGAAATACCCAGGTCGAGAAATCCGATCACTGGATCTTGTCAGCTCCAACCAGAATCAATGTCGGAAATGGTCGGATTCCGACTCGTTCCAGGCGGATTCTATCGGATTGAATCCAGAATCCAATGGCCAAAAATTCGACGAACATTTGATAGGAGAATGATCTTATCGGATCCGACAAGTTCCGATGAAAGGATTCGGCAAGGTCTTATCGGACCCTGCAACGAAACTTAACAGATCCGATAGGATTTTAATCATTAGGCTTCAATAGTTGTTCTCTTTCCGATTCACTATCATCTGTTAAATATACAATAAATATTAAGACTTCTGACACCAATGGTAAAAAGTCCATTGTCTGCCCTTCTTATCACCTTATTGAGTACGAAAACGCGAGAGAAACTCAGATATAGTCATTAAGTACAGTGCAAAGATATTAATAATGCGTTAACTATACCCCTTTGCCTATACCCTTACACCCATACCCCTATGTCTATACCCTTACATCCATATACCTATGCCTATATTCTGATAATTATATCCTTACAACTATAGCCTTCAACGGACACTCAGACGGCTATAACCTTAGTTCCATGCACCTATGGATTAAGATAAAAGTTTTAGTACTTGCTAGAAATTCTTTTTTTTTCTCTGTTATAATAAATCCTGGAATGTTCTAAGTGGCATATCAAATATTTTGCAGCTGGATGAATAGTAACCTAAATGTTCGTAAGTCTAGCGCTACCTTAATGAAAAGCATATAGCTCACACTGTAGAGAAGATTCTTTTCACGTAATCAAAAAACAAATAGTGCTGGAGACTTTCATGAAACCATGAAAAAAATGGTGGGAATGAAAAAAATGAAATGAGAAAATATTGGAAGAGTATAGTTGAATCAATTAGGCCAAAAGGTTATTTAGATATCTTTAGTATGCTTGTGGAAAGGTGTTCATCCCTAATTGACTATGGGTAAAAGAAGGATTGTTACTCATGATTGGTCTTTCATTTCGATGAATTTTTTCTAACGTTTTCACATTTTTGCATTTTCGCATTTTTCAATTTTACTTTGAATACTTTTTGTTTTTGTGGAATGAGAAAAAATTTAAACTAAAAATGTAAGCATGTTGAAAAGAAAGATTGTTCTGATGTGGAAGACACTGAATTTGTAATGGTGCTGAAGCTGGATGAGTTCGAAACAGTTAAAGATTCTAGTGTGTTATTAATAGGGAAGGTCCTTCAACCAATAGAAAACGACTATAATAAGATAAAAATATAAAGTACTACATTATTTGATATTGTATTTATGATAAAGACTTACTATTCTAGATGTTTTCTTATAAATAAGAAATTCTATTTGGTCAAACAAAAAGAGCTTCTCTATAGTACCAGCTATACATCTTCCCTAGTGATAGAGATAGAGTTTTGAAAATTTAGGGTCTTATTCATGTTGTTGCAAAATATTTTATGTCACATTTAGAGCCTTTTCAGATCTGTAACTAAAGAGCAGAAGCCATTTTTTTAGCAAGTAGACAAACTTTTGTCTCACACTGTTAGTAACATTAGAGAACATCAAACCGCAGTCGAAAGCAAAAAGGATGAAGAAAAGAAGCTTACCATGTAATTAATAAGCGGTAGAGAAGAACTGTTGCCAAATAATTTTGCTGCCTCAGACGGAAGCACACGAGTACAAATAATAGAAGCATACCATAACGAAAAGAGATCACTGATCATTATTCTATAGATTGATACAGTCAAAATATTATGATATGAGAAATTCTTTGGTCTAAATAACTCTTGTTCATTGCACTACGTACATTGAAAGTATTCGATGTCTATTTATCACTAATTGAGCGTCCAAGTCTTGTACTCAGTTAAATGTTTATGATATTAATCTGGTGCAACACTCCAATCGATTTAGTGCTTTCATTCTTATTGCAGTAGTGAGATTAATATTAAAGTATGAAAAATCATCCAATTTTATTTGGAAAATAGTGCTCTGCTAATCATTTTTTAATAATGCTCCTTCATGCTGCTCATTCATTAGAATATCTGAGTCCATTTTTTTCGTTGAAATCTAACAAAGCGTTCAATTAGAAATGGATTTATACACAGAACATATGTTCCACTGCAACCAGACAACTTACTTCTCGGAACTGGATGGAACCGACTGGATTCTGACAAATGAATCCTACTGGATCTGTCCTTCGGATTTCAACGGAATCCCATAATCGGAATGCGTCGGAAATCATGTGAATCAATTGAGATACAATCGGATTCCGACAATCGGAATTCTATCGGATTCAGCTATCGGAATTCATTGGATTGAAAAAGATCCAACAGAATGCGATGGCTCACTTTCGATCTGGGTACATTCGAGAAGAACGTATTCTGAATACGCTTTTAATCGCACCTTGAAATGTTTTCTGGAGACTTTTAGTGTTCCATAGAAGTGCATAATTAAGACGCTTTTGGGGCTCTTCTGTAACGCGCTTTACGGTTCAAGAACGATCCTCTGTAAATAATATTCTTAGTAAGTTATAATTTACTTGTTTTGGCTAAAAAATGCGTTTTTTTCATATCTAAACAACGTTCCGAAAGAGGGCTGAAAGTGCCTTAATAATGCGTTTTTTATTGCAGCACCGTGTTTTTAGCTGTCTTTTTCATCATTCTTTCCAATGCTCAAAGACATATAGATCTTTTTGGAACTGTCTCAAAATTTCATTCACGCTGGCAAGTGATTAAAATAAATAATTTGTCAGAAGGAGACCTTCTAAGAGAAGTCTTTGATCAAATGAGCAGAAATAGTTTAAGTGTATTTGACTAACTGTTTTTTATCAGGGTAAAACCATTCATCAAGACAGAAAGAAAAGGTTTGAAATAGAAGCGGATTATGCTAGTAGCTTAAAAATTTCAAAGAATGGTATCTAACCTGGAATCCTAAAAGAGTTCCGCATGAATCTGTTTTCTAAAGAGTTCGGGGAATTTCTTCGTGAGTCTTTAATCAAAGAACATTATTTACACTATCTTTACGCTAAAATAGTGCATATCTTAGCTAATATTTAGTAAAGCGTTGGAAAGCTTTTCCTGGACAATATAGTTATAGAATATACAAATATGTGCTAATCAGAAATTTTTTACATCTACTTTCAATTTTTCGCTTGTTTCGTACTTAAGTTACAATTTACTTATATGGATGATGAAATCGTTTGAAAAAAGTCTTCACTTACAACAACAAGTATACCAGCAGAATATGTACGGCATTCGGTTTTAATTAGATACTGTCCATACCAAAGTGCCGCTGTAAAAACAATACCAATAGCAACATTGGAAAATACTTGACATAGGCCTTGAACAAGGCCTTTCTTAAATCCAATCGATGGTATTTGTGATAAACTACTGGCGTATCTGTAAAAAGAAATAGGTATTTATCAAGTAAAAAAATATAAATGTAGATAATAAACCTATCATATTCCTTCATCTGCCCATTAAAAGCTGTTACTGTACGTATAGCTGTTAATACTTCTTGTGCAATTGTATTTGCTTTAGCATATGCATGAATTTGTTTCTGTGTATATTTTACAGTAAATTTGATTGTTAAATTAAAAGCTATAATAACAAGAGGAGCAATCGCCAAAATGACTAATGTTAATTTCCACCCTTTAACAAGTGCAAAAATAAGACAACCTATCATACGAGCTAATAATGAAAGAAAATCAGCCACTTTGTCACCAATTCCTTCTTTAAGTTTGAGTAAATCGTCTGCTAACATATTGCTTAATTTGCCTTTACCACCAAGTAAATCAAAATATGACATATCTTGATAAAGAATATTATGAAATAAACGAAATCTAAATAAATAAATAAATAAATGTATGTATTCAGAAGAATTGAATGCAAGGGAAGGGGGAGGGAGAAGCATACTTTTCCAGCTGTGAATTACGGCGAAGTACAGAAGTGTCAAGAAGTATCAAGAAGCTCCAAGAAGTACCGAGAAGTACGAAGAAGTACTGAGAAGTATCAAGAAGTACGAATAGGTGTCCTACAGCACCAGCTCCACAGCACACCAGAATTGAGTTGAAGAGCTGGTAGACAGCTCCAGCTCACGTACGCTGGAGCTGAAACTGTTCAGCATCTCAGCTCCCGTGAGCTAGAGCGAGTCACCAGCTCTTTTCGTATGAGCTATCTCATAGTTTTCCAATAGCTACCTGGGGAGGCCCCATAGGTCTTCAAGGGCTATCCTGTAGAGGTACACATAAGTCTGATAGGACTATGATATGGGGTTACCCATAAGTTTGAAAGAACTATGCTATGAGGGTGCCCATAAGTCCTCAAAAGCTATCAACAAGTTAACAATGAACACTGTTATCTCGCGTTTCATGTCAGGAAAGCAAGTAAATACTTGAGATATATGCAAAAAATTGCGCTGGAATTTCTCTAGTTCTTTAAAGTAATTCTAGTTAAAGCTAAAGCTTAGTTACGTGTAAAATAACAAGTTATCTTTTCCGATCGTTATATAAATTGAATCTACTTTTAAAAATATCTAACTTCTACAGTATTCAAAATGAAATTCCTTACAAAACTCACTAAATCTCGCTAAAAACAATAATAAGTTAAAGTTTAAGGCAAACAATACGCGTCTTTTCGTTCAAAATTTTTGTGTTTAAATGCGTGTGACTGTATGAACACAATAAAATCGCTAAAAACTTTAAAAAAAAACGCGTAACAACGCGTAAATTGAGAGAAGAATTTATGTGTATTTATGGGTTCATCCACCCGTAACGCGTTACAACGCGTTTTTTTTGAAGGGCTTGTCTGACTGGGTACTCTTCAAGGGGTTATCTGGATGAGGGATGTCGGGTGTCGCTAACTGTTCAAGAGATATCTAGAGTCACTCGTCATAGGTTTCCAAGGGCTTTTAGGAGTAGGTCGCAAAATTGTGGTAACGACGTCACTCGTAAGTCATCTATTAACTTGTGTCGAATGTGGTACGAAATCCTAGATTAGGGATAATCCGAGGGGGAACAACTGAGACTTCGCTCTTGAAGTCAGATGAAGTCTCAGAAGTCTCGTAAAATCTTATGAAATCTCATGAAGTCTCCTGAAATCTTATGAAGTCACATGAAGTCTCATGAAGTCTTCTGGATTTTTCGGCGTACACTTAGTGTATAAAAACTTCATAAGAAACACAATGAAATCGTAAGTTTTTTGATGATCTTATTTTAGCAGATATGTGAACTTTTATTTATGGGTGGGAAGTTACCGTTACCGAATCGTTACCTGGTAACTGGTAACGGTAACAGTTCGGTAACGGTTCGGTAACGGTAACTTCCCACTCAATTGTTGACGGATACTCTTGGATCTTCAAGTCCTATAATAGGGAGGTACACATGGGTCCTCAAGTCCTACTAAAGTGGGTACCTTTGGGTTCTCAAGTGCTTTTTGAAAACAATTTTTTTTCAAAAAAATTTCAGGTGTTTTCAAAAAAGTTTATTTTTTCTCAAAAAATGTGCTTCTGTATTAAAAAAAATTTTCGAAAAAACTTTTTTTTCAAAAATAGAACTTGAGAACCCTAGAATAGCTCCGTATAGAAGGGCTTCAGGGCCCTAGGGTTCGGGACTGGGGATGGGAGACAATTACCATAGCGTTACCGTTACCGGATAACTAGTAACGGATCCGTTACCAGTTACTTCGTAGCGTAACGGTAACTTTCCTCCCCTAGTTTTGCGCGGTACAAAAATCTGATGGCTAAGGCTTCTTGATCACTCATTCAGTCTTGAAGTCTCTTAAAGTTTAATGAAGTCTTCTGAAGTCCCATGAAGTCTCAGAAGTCTCGTGAAGTCTCGTGAAGTCTCTTTAAGTCTCATGAAGTCATTCGAAGTCTTCTGAAGTCTTTTCAAAATTTGAAGTCTCTGTTGTTGAAGTCACTTGAAGTCTTTTGAAGTCTTTTGAAATCTTGAAGTTTGAAGCCTGCTGTTTTTCCCTCGGAGTAACCTAAGAGTCATGCACTTGAGCTTTCCTTTGAGAAGTAAAAACCCAAGCAGACATTAAAAAGCATGCGATGGGTGCGACGAGTGCTTGAAAATATAATGTATCTATTTTTTGTTCGTTCTGTTTCGATTTTGAGCCCACCGGCAGCCATCGGATTCCGAGCACTCGAAAGTTATCCTATCGGATATATATTTTCGACTCCTCAAGAACTTTTAAATCGCTCGCCACTCCCCGGAGTTTCGAGTACCCGAGAAGACGAAGCCTGTCGGAAGAATCTTATCGAGTGCTCCAATAGAAAGAAGTCTAGGATAATAGCACTTTCAAGTGGTGAACCTTAATTTTCCTTTTGTGAAACTTACTCAAAAAGATATTTACAAATATTTGCTTCATTGAGCTAACTTAGAAGAGTGATGAATGTTGAACACATGTTTTCCTGAATTTCGTAATTTTCTAAAAAGTGTTTAATATTAAAAGAGCAAAAATGACAGGCAAGACTGCTATGTAAAATGATGTTGACCAAAACAAAAATTCATCGAAGGAGAATGCATTTGAGATGAGTCTAACTAATGAATCGGCTTTTCTTCAAGTTTTCGACATCATATAAGTAGCTTATTTAATAAATAATTGACTTTCATGATAAAGTATAAAATCAATCTTTATAAATTTTGTCAAAGATTCATAACGTAATATTCGTTATAATTTTGTTTTGGTCAACATCATTTTACATAGCGGTCTTGCTTGTCATTTTTGCTCGTTTAATATTAAACGCTTTTTAGAAAATTACGAAATTAAGGAAAACATGTGTCCAACATTCATCACTCCTCNAAGTTACAAAAAACGCCAACAAACGCGTTTTCGTGCGTTCTTTTAATGAGCGTTAATGGCTTACAATCGCGGTTCCCGATTGTGCGTTTAAACGCGTTTTTCAAAATTTTTGTCTGGCTGGGTAATAAAAATTCGTGTGTAGAATTTTAATAAAGCATATTGAACTGCAGTATAGTTTTTTCAAATTAACTTAAAACAAAAAAATTGAACAAGTACAACAACTTCAAGCTATTTCACAATGGAGCTGTGTCCCATAGAACATTCGAATGTTTGCATAGGAACGATTAATCGACAAACAATTGATTGTTAGAAATCATCTCATTGATGAATTCTTCGATACTTAACCCTTGAAAATCACTGTCGTGTAAAGAGCTCAGAATTTTCGATGAGACTAACTATTGATAGGGCATTATGATTATATTTTCAATAAGGGAGGCACATACATTCAAATTAGCGTCTTATCTGTATATGTTAAATAATTTTCTTAAAACCATGAATTTATGTACAGCGCTACAAGAGAAAAGAATTTTAAAGAAGTTTCCACTGATCAAAATTGAACTGAATAGTAAAAACTCTCTTTTCACCAGGTTTATTCTCATAGAGCAATCGTAACTTCGATAAGTATTATCATTTTGAGTAGTCGGTAATTCGAAGGATGTTGAAAGGTCGAAATGGATCCAAGCAGTCGAGAATCAATGTCCGATAGGGGGATATTTCTGAGAGCTCCATTATCGATGGATTCGAAGGGCTCGAATGTCAAACAGAACGAGAAAAATAAATCTATGTCAAGTTCCGACTATTCGTCGCACCACTCATTGACTTTTTACGATCTGCTTGGGTCATTACTATAGATTGTTTAAGTTTTTTTCTCGTTTTTCTAATGAACAATAACGATATTCACGAAGATCTTTACTTTTTCTCATTTAAAAAACTTATTAGCATAATTCAAAGATCTTTTCAATGTAAAACCGATAGGAGTTACACGATATATGTAGAAAAAAAACAATTTAAGGTTGAATGATTTGTTGGTGATGACATACATAGGAAATAATCAATGCTATTTTCATTCAAAATAATGAGATATTTCATCATTTCACAAAGCTTCATTTTCGATATTATAGAAAAAATATGAAACTAACTCAGTAGGGTTTCTCATTAAGATTCTTATGGAAAACTGTACGACCCTTCTTTTGATAGAAGAATCAAGATTATATAATATATCTATAGGTAGATAAATGGAAAATACCCAATATTCCAATATTCATGCCGCAATTGGCATAACAGATAGAATCGCTTTTATTCTACAATAAAAAAAGCAATTCTAATTAGTAGTTATTTCTCTACAATGAATATCCATTGAAGAAAATAAAAGATTTATTAACATATGATAAGTAAGAAAGAAAGAAAGAAAATAAGTTTTTATGAGTTATTTTAAATAAAGATAATCACATGTTGTAAAATTATGAGGTCATACGAGATTCAGATGCTAATAGCATTCGGATCAGGTTTTTCTCCGAAACAAAAATGTCAGACCGCCCTCTTAGTAGTATTAAAAATATAATAACACGAAAGTTGGTAATCCACCAACAACCAAACAAAAACTTTTCCAAAGCTCTTGGGGCAGTGTTCGACATGAGTCACTTTTAGTGACCCGACCCGACCCGACCCGAGAGCAAGAATTTTTTTCAAAACATGACCCGACCCGAAGGCAATTTTTTCCTGATTAATATAAGCAAAGTTTTAGGATATATATATTTTAGAAATAATTATAATTAACTCATTTTAAACAAAATTAATGTGTATTCTATATTGGGAAGTTGCGTTTTGTCTTGTCCAGCATTCTATTTAAAATTATTTTATTTTATTTCATGTTCGTTTCTTTTTCTTTTATTTTTTTTTCTTAATTGAACGTAGAAAAACAATATCATCTACCACATCTGGAGAAATGTTTGATCGACGTTCGGAGACCACTTGACCAGTCGCACTAAAGCTGTGCTCCACGCTAGTTGATGTTGCTGGGACTGTTAAAATTTAGAATTCGAGTTTGGCCAAAGCTGGAAAAAACCAGCCACTGTCTTCTAAAATTCAAGTATATCAGATGTGTTTGTTTCACGATGGTCAAATTTAAGATATCGAGATATTTCATCTTGTTTACGTGATATTAGTGGATTATCCACATATCTTGCAAGATAATCACGATTGTCATGATCATCATCACTATCACTATATGTAAGTGCTGATGATGCAACCGATTGTGTAATACCTTCTAATCTGTTTCTTAAATATTTTGTGTTCATATTTGTTCTTCTGTCGTTGCCCGCCACAAAGAACGATAACTTGGATTCAGCATAGCAGCTGCAAAATGAGTATCTTGTAATTCTATATTTGTTCCAGAATGGCACTACACTTGTTTTTTAGAAAGCATAGTATTGATGAGTCAACAGCTATTGTCTTTAGTTCATCTTTTAAATGCCAAACACAAGAAACCACTATCGGCAATGTCGGACGATCCTTTGTTTGAAGATCGACGATTATCCGACGAAATGGTTCGAGAAACCAGAGAATATCGTATGAAATAATACTGAAATTTGGAAAATGAATAAAAATATCTTCTCATGCAGTTTATCTTAGCACAATTATAGAGTACAGATAGAATTTGCACGACACAAAATTTCTGTGACTAATTATATAAGTATAGAATACAACTTAATAAAATACAGTGCTTACCTTAAGTACTTTTCCGTCGATCGATGTAAGAAGATGAAACATATTCGTTTCAGAAAGAATTATAATCAGAATATCATATGATCTATCAATGCTATTTAACATCGCATGTAACCACAACCACCTTGTTTGATTTTCTTGAATAAGACATAAACCACCTTTTTCTTGTATTTTTTTATTTAAGCCTATTTTTCTGATATATCGAACCATTTTTTTTTACATCCATTAATGGTTAAAATTACTATATGTAATGAACCGCTGCATTGTTCATCAAATTCAATGTCCGACTCATCCGAATCACTTTCGTCTAACTCTTATTGTCTCTTCCTTTTTTTTAGTAAATTGAAGAGTATCATCAACGGTGACTTTAGGCCAAGGGGGAAAAGGCTGATTTAAATCATCTAAAAATCAACATTAAATCATGTGAAACAATGAGTTTTGATGATTTTAAATCATTAAATCACAAATCGCCTTTTCCCCCTTGCTTTAGGCACTATATTGAAATGGAAAAATTTAATAAGTCTAAAAATTTTACGCTAGAATAGATTGCTTTCAAATTTGATCCATGATCAATAACGAAAGTTGCTGATTTTCGATACTGTTGAATATTAAATTCGCTCAGTATTGCATCAATTAATTTGGATACATTCTCTGCCGATTTGTTCTGATATAGGAAATCACAACAACACAAATCAATTGTATGTATAACAGAATCTTCAACGGAGATAGCTGTCATACCTGTAAATATAAGATAGGTATGCTTTACGACATAAGAAAAAACATTTGATACGCAAATATGCTTGTTTTTTATACTGATCTTTCCAAAGGTCTGGACTAAACGCCAATTCACCACGTGCACCTACAACAGCTAAACGAGTTGCTACTTTTGATCGAGAAATGTCAGCAAGAGGGTGGGTGTGGGTGTAGGTATCGGTATGGATGTGGGTATGGGCGTCAGCCTCTTCAATGACTCACACCCACACCCTAATTTTACAGGAAAATATCCTGATCATGAATATGTTTATCATTTCTTGGGACTAATTTACGAGAAGACTGGTCAGCTTGGAAAAGGTGTTGAATATTTGGAAAAATCACTTGAAATGAAATTAAAACAATATTCCGCAACCGATCCCCGCTTAGGTCCTACGTATAATAACCTGGGAGAGATCTGTCGTAAACAGGGCGACTTTGAAAAGTCACTATCTTATTCCAATAAAGTTTTTTAAATAAATCTAAATATGCCCAATCCAAATGAGCATATACTCTCTACCGACAATAATAACATTGGAGCAGTGTATGATGATCAGAAGTGTTACGCAGAAGCAGTGAAAATGTATAAGAGATCGCTCGAACTCAGAATGAAAGTTCATCCGCCAAATCATCCTTCCATTGCCACAGTATACAACAACATTTCACAAGTTTATAGCTCACTCAAAAAGTACGATGAAGCAGTTGAGTATTTGAATAAATCACTTCAAATTCGTTTAAGCTTCCTTCCACCTAATCATCCGTCATTAGCTACAGTCTACAACAACCTCGCTTCCACATTGTATAAGCAAGGTAAAGTAGAAGAAGCTTTGCAACACATAAAGACAGCGTATGAAATTTTTTCAAAAAATTTCACACCTGATCATTCGGTTGTTATCAGAGCTCGTGAATGGATTACTCTTATGGAGAAAGAAACCAATGAAAATGCGAAGGAAGAAATTCAAAACTAATATTATCGCTTCTCAATTACGATGAATTTCTGGTGCGTCTTTTTTGCCACATCTATGCCACTTCTCCACAATAAAAGGTTCATTGTAGTATGTTCTATCCATAGCTGCATTACACCGATGAGTGTGGGTGTGGATGTGGGTGAGGCTGTGGGGTAATCTGTTGAGGTAGGATGGCAATATGATTGCCATCCACACCCCATACCTACATCTACATCCACACATCCTATTTACCCTACAGACAATATTCTTAAATAGGTTAAAATCGATCAGTTTAGTTAAATACAGATTTTTTTAAATGGAAAGATACTTGAATGAAATCCAAATACGTTCATTTATTTAAAAATCCACATATTTCGTATGTTTATTCTGCCACTGATTATTGTTTAAATACAAGTAATAGAATATTATTTTTATTGAGATTTCTCATTCGATGCAATATTCTTCATTCATATAGCATATCATGGTAAATACTACTACCATACTCAAGTTGTTAGATGTTGGTTTAATCATCATTACTATTTCATTACTCATTTAACTCAACCATCGTTAGATAAAAGAAAACAGATATTGGAAAATAACTTTCAAAGTTGAGACGTGTGAATATAATAATATAGAATACGGAATTAAAAATAGGATTTTAGATTAAACAAGGTGATACATGTGAATAACTTCATTCGATTCCATGTAGCTGATGATCAAACGATATCTCTTATGCCGTTACATCAAAAATGCTCTAAAACTCCTTGACAGCAGTTTTAAAAGTTGGAATTTTTATAGGAATAACATAGATGTAGATACGCCTAGATCCTGATTTTGATAAATGAATATTCAACGTTTACTTGTTAAAATCTAATGATAATAACAATTTTAAACAATATTGATTATCAATCTGTGCAAACATAATTTATTCTTTATTGAAAGTAAAAAATACTAATGCTAAAAATATCGAAACAAAAATCTTTTCATTGCATTTGAACATATTATCTATGCAAATAAAATAACAATATCAGATTCTTCTTGTTTTCAAATCAGAAAAGATTCTGTCGATCCAGTCGAACTCGAACATTAATTTTATTTTATTCGATTTCGATGCATACGGACGGTACTTTTTTCTCTTTTCCTATGATGAACCAAGATGTGAAACGTGCGGGCTAGTCTCATTGCAGATAGTTTTTCGTTTAAGTTATATTTAAAGTAAACAAATATTGGTCAAGATGTGGGCTGCGTGTAGTGAAAAAGGACACCCACACCCACATCTATTGCCGAGCACGAAAATTCCATGTTCGTCTGGTATGCGAAAGTTGCCCACTGTGCTACACCCACAAACTCAAGTCTGTCTCATGTATGCATGAGCATTACGCTCGCCACGTCTCCACCAGGATGGTTCCTGGTCGCGCACACGGGTGCGAATAAAATAGCTATTAATTCTTTTTTATTTAATCGCGATTTATTTGTAAGAGAAAGAGAACAAAGAAAAATAAAAGAAAACATCGTATTGAATTTATGCGATTTTAAATTCTTGTACTCGATTATTTCCGTAATCGACGACATAGAGATTGCCGTGTCGATCAAATGATAAACCGACGGGACGAGCGAGTTGATTCGACGATGTTCCATAATGGTTCCCACCAACAATGACAGTTCTCTGTGTGACTCCTTTCGACCAACACAGGATTCGATCATTATAATAATCAGCTACATAGACAGTGCCTAATTGATCAACAACGACTCCATTAGGATATGACAATTGTGTAGGACTATTTCCTTGACCACTGGTTACATCAATGCCTTCCTTTGCACCTTCTTCCCATTTCATCACACGGTGATTGTAATAATCAGACACATACACTGAATGGTCTCGATCGACAAATACGTATTGTGGAGAAGAGAGTTGATTGAGACGATTTCCTTGTCCATTGCCCCCTGCAATCACTGTTCCTTGAGATTCTCCTCTTCGATATCGTCTCACTTCATTTCTTATACGATCAACGACATAGAGAAATCCCTTCTCGTCTATTGTCAAACCCACACATGAGATGTTGGAGATGATTGTTTCTCCACTAGTACCATTTCGACGAGGCCATCGAACTACTCTTCCATTACCATCGCAAATTATGAGACTATCTGTCTCTTTGTCAATAATCACATCTGATGGGGAGTTTAACTGATTAGCTCCATTTCCACGTCCATTTCCACCAGCGACCACTTGTCCATTCGTTGCACCCAATTTCCATTCCATTATACGGTCATTCAAGACATCAGCGACATAAATTGCTTGATTATCATCAACATATAAAGCCACTGGACCGTTGAGTTGGTTGGTTCCATTGCCTTCTCCATTTCCTCCAGCCACAGTGATACCATTCTGTTGCCATAGAGCATTTGGAAGAATGTCAGTGGAGCTCCCACGTAATGGATAGACTGAAATAGAGACAGACTACAGAGAGAAACAAGTGAAAAATTCATTTGAATTTTTGGCAAAATCAAAATCGTTCCAAGTTTCGGTTCATTTCTGAATGTTCTCTTTTGATAGTGAGTGTTTCCCTTGTTTTTTTCTCGAGAGGGTGAGACCATCAAAATATTATTTATTTTGATTTTTTCTAAGAATTTAAAAAAGATTTTAGTAGGTCATCATAATTAATAAATCATCAATGCAAAGTGAATTAAGTTCGTTTTTCTTTGGAAAGAGAAATATATTTATGTGGAGAACTTATTTCTTCATATTCAAACGAATTAGGAATTTTTCCGATAGATTGAGAAAAAGAATCAAAGTTCACATTTCTACATGTAACTATTTAAAAAAGACATATCAAAAGTTGAAATTATTTCATCAGTTTTCTGGTCAATTTTTCCATATACATTAAATGTATGTTTAAATATTTATCTGCAGCATCACGTACTCATTAGAAGTCATTTTTTAACGCATTATGTTATTCTTCTAGAGTCAATTGTTTTTCACTTTAAATAACCTCAACATTATATAAATGAATTTATTATCCACAGAAGTTGAAAAGGAAAAATAATGAAGGTGGTCAGAAATGTTTTATACCATTGGTGGTTCTAATTTTCGATTAAATGAAGGATTTCTAAATAAAACTTGTAAATATAAAACCAATATTCTATGATTTTTTTTCATATTTAATATACGTACGTGTATATTTGTTAGGCAAGCTTTTCATATCTTACTTGTTTTATTCTGAAATTTTTACAATATACAATAGTTTTTCATCAAGATGGCAGACTGATTAGTGAATACAACTAGCATACAATTTTTGATCGTATTTCAATTATAGTAACAAATAGAAGTTTAGTAGATTGTCTTTGAAACAAAAGTATTCAAAATTCCTAAGTGAAATGTATTCTATATTATTTCTCAAGAAATATTTAAAAGGATAACAATATCTCAAAAATCTTTCAAAATTTTCAGGTCTCAATAGAGTAATAGATATCAACATCATTAAGAATTCCAATTATGAGACAAAAAGAATTGAAAACTATCATAGAGAATAATACTAAACTCAGGAAGCACTAACGGATGAAGAAATCTATGACATGGAAGAAATAAAAATGAAATTGACAATTATTAAGCATTAACCATTATCACTTTAATTGAAAAAGAAATTGATGTTTTAATGTTGGGAAAAGAATTTAAAAACAACTTTTCATTTTGTTAAAACCGCGATTAAATGATAGTTTTTACAAATAAAATCTTTCAATCTTTTCAATCATCTTATTTATCTTCTTCATGATCATTCCTTACTATGATACTACTTCACAAACATGTGCAAAGAAAAAGCCCATTTAAATATTATGTATACAAAGATGCAAAAAAACAAAAAACGTATCATCATTGATTGTAATGTGAAAATAAATTCTAATGCAGAAACAAAAGAAATTTCTCACAGAAATATCAAAGAAAAAGATTATTTGACAAAATTCTTGCTCATTCGTCATGTTGCAATATAGTTTTGAGTGTGGAGTGTGGGTGTGAGGAGAAGATCGACAACCACACTCAAACCTTCATTAGATATTGATATAGGTAATGAGATTTGAAATGAAATTCAGATCTCGAAAACAAACTTAGTCATGAAAATTTCTGAAATTTTTCTAATGTGGGTCACTTTCTTTACGTGAACTGCGAATTGAAGTAATGCGTCAAGAGATTAGCAAGCATGCCTACTATCGACTCCATTCACTAATATCCATTTGTGTGATCTAAATCCTACATCAATAGTGTACGAAGTTTTTAGTTACTCGCAGTCACAGAAGTATTTGATTTTTATTATCAAAATAAAAAATTAAATAGAACTGTATATTTTAGCAAGAAAGTCATCAATTGATAAATACTTACTTTTTTGCTGGTTGATCTGAACTGACTTCAATACGACATACATTCTGCCACTATTATCTGCTAGATATTGTGTTATACTATTCGAGCTCAATATGCATGATATATGAGTATACTTAAAAAAAGATAAAAAATCGAACTGATTCGAGACAGCAGAGAAGAGTGACAGAAAATTATAATAATTCTAAACATTTCATTTCTAGTTGAAACGAAGGATTCATTATCACTAAAGAAAACATCTTATCATTAAAACTTACTGCTTCCATTGACAAAGAATTTGATTATATGTTTTTAGCAAGAGCAATGCTTTGCAGTTCATGTGAAAAAAATATTATTGTTAATTACATTCTACATTCTTTAGTTTAAAATTTGATATCTATAAGATTGTTTATAAAAATGGGTTGCTTTTAAGAACAAAGTGTCATACGATTATACATATCATAATACAAAGGATAATCGTAAAACAGGACATATAGAGAAAAATATGAACTTATAACTGTCAAAGGCAACATGAATGATCTTAGTGTAATCGGATATGAGTTCCAAAAGAGTCAATGTTTTGGACGTAGGTGTGGGTGTTCGTCCTGTTCAAAACACATCCATATCCCCACACATACCTGCACTGAAGATGCTTCGAAATTTTCACTCTTAACTGGAGTGACTAGAAAGTGCGTAGGCTAGCTAAAAGCGCCTGTAATGTGAGTTTGGGAAGTCGCTATGATTGTGAGTGTAGCTTATCTCTAGAGTCACGCCTAAGTCACAACTAAAACCGTAACTAAAATCCTAGCTACGGTCAAATCTAATGAAATCCATACCCCATATTCATACCAATACTCACAGGCACATACACAATCTACAATGAATTCCTCTTCCCTCGTATACCCTTGTGCCAAACACTGAATATAAGTTAATTCACTTACTAGAGTAACCAGTGATGCTATCGGTAGTTGCGTTTCCACCACTACCCATACTTGTTTTCAACAAACATTGTTGGCTTGATGGCGAATACGTAAAAGCAGCACATCTATACGTTGCTTGACATTGTGAGCAACAGCTAGCATAATCAGATTGTTGCCCAGGAAACGGTAATATGTCATTTCCAGATATGTCCCAATTGTCTATACGTAAGAAACCGCCACACATATTCGCTGTGAGAACATAAATAAAAGAATAATGTTAATTGCATTCATGGTGCTCAATGAAAGATTAGAAAAAGTGCCCATATTCAATGCAGTTCTAGGATTCACTATGTTCTCGCTCGAATATATGCTTTACTCTTTTCTATCTTGTCATCACTGAGCTGCTTATAAGTGGTGAATACTAGTGAATCTTCGTGATGAAATAAAACCGAGCGCTTAAAGCCTTGATGTCTGATTCTTGCGTTGGATTCCAAAAGGTGTCTTCTCATTTGGAAGCATACAATCGAAATTCAATAGCTAATAGATTTAATATCAATTGGTCTCCTAATTTAAATCACTAAATTAGAATAAGCAACAATTTTATGCCTCAAAATTTAGTTGCTTAAAATTTCAAAACATTTAGATTGAGTTTACGAGAACTTATTTTGTGAGGTAAACTATTTGGAAATATTTAAATGAAAGGTTCAAATGTTCGTTTGCATTTTTGAAAAATTTTCTAATACTCATTTTCATGATCCTTATACCTTCAGTTCTACTTTTCACTATCTGCAACTGATAAAGCTTCCTAAATATTAGGCTTCATGATGTCTGTTCTATGTGCTACAAAATGCAGAGTGCGCTAAACTAGTGTTTCCCATTTTCTTCCTAATTAATTGCAAGTAATAGAGTTCGCTAGATGTACTTTTTATTATGAATGTGATGAACGTTTTTCTTTGAACTTGAACCTTCGATCGAATATGCATCATAACATGGCATTGAAAATCAAATGAACATACATCAATCAAGGCGCTAATGCATTTATACACCGAAATAAAATATATATAGAAAATGATGTCGTAAAATCAATGGCCCTAAAATATGAGATTAGTGAGCATCTTGTCTTTACCGTCATCCCACTCCTCAATTGTCCACTTCACACTTGCAATGAAAATTCCGTTGGTACTATGAATTGCAATGAAATCTCTGTGAAACTTCTGTTTGACTCTGACTCAAGTTCTTCTTACCCAAGGCCAAATCCATGGTTGTTCCTCATGCATAATGCGTTACTGCAAATTTCAGTATCTTCACTGCATTCAATGAGATCTTATTATTAAAAAACTTATGTCATCTACTGATTGCAGCGTCTTCTCTTACTATAAAAAATGCTGTTATTCGAAGTTTTGGAAACCAATTATTATTCATATGGGGTCTCTTTCATTAAATCTTTAAAAATATAACTATCATACTTAATTGTCGTAGAGAAAATTAGTGATTTTGTTGAGTGCCAGCCAACCAATAATGTAAAGCATACTCATCTTAGTTAAGCCTAATTTTCTTTACGTCCGCGAATCAAAAGTAGCGATTCCGAAAACTTCAATTAAATACGTATTAAATATCTAGTTACGCGGTGATACAGCTGTGTGAACCTGTCCTTGTTGAGTGCGAGGGCGCGGGATCGATATCTCATCAAGAGTGTTTTTCATTTTGTAATTTGTTCTTTTCTTTTTCCTTTCTTATCCGTTCAACGTTATTTCGTAAAACAAAAAGAGAATATTTCATCTTTCATATTACGGAAAGTTTGTTGCAACAAAATGCAAGAAGCGCCTAATTTGTTTTCTGGGAAGACATTTCTGCAAGAAAGAAGAAGAAAAAACGAGCAACTGACATGTAAAATGGTTCTTCGTTTCGATTACAAGTCTATGGAAGTTTCATGTGTTAGTTACAGTAATCGTCATAAGCGGTCGCGAATTAAAAACGAAGACAAAGAAGTTAGTTTATTATTTTTTATCTACAAAAATCTTTATAATATATACATCATCTTAGTAATTAATATAATCGGCTTTTCTTTCAATTAACAATTCTACTCTATTTTTCATAGAGCCGACTAATTTTTCAGCAAATTCAATAAGTAAACTTTTCGGACAGAGTTTATTATAGCTCCCCACTTGTTATAGACTTTCTCCATCCCTGGAGAAGCCTAAAATATCAAACTGCGAACAAATATTTGCTTTAAGATGAGGGTGAGGATGTGCTTTGTGCATATATCCATGTGGCTTGTGTTGCCCTCTATCGATGTTTTCTATTCGTTTTACTCTTGTCCATTGGTTCGATCTTCATTACCACAGTGTCAATTTTACGTCTGAATTTGTTCAGTNGCGGCGCGTGCAATGCGAGACGCTCCCCCCCTCCCCCCCCCCTGCCCCAAGGTTGTAGTTCTTAGTGGGGGTTGTTGGGCGTGTGGGGGGGGTGGGGGGGGGGGGGGGGGGGGGGGGGGGGGGGGGGCAATAATATTCATGAATTACTATCCAAAACAATTATACCATTATCTTTCATATATTCATGATATGTGTCTATGATCTAGACCAGATTAAATACCAACAGAAGATCGATATAAAATAACTTATTCGACCCAATTTTGTGTCCGCCTGTCGGATGAATTTTCGGATTCACACAGGAGCTCACTGTTTTTAAAACAGTGAGAAGGCGGCCCTGGGCTGTCGGTAGCCAACCGTCTAGCCTTGAGGCTAGCACTTTCTCGGTTTGGACACTAAATTATCTCTGCTAACGAAAAGTAGAAAAACAAATGTGCCAATGCACAATTTCACGTGTTATTTGGCAGATGGAATGTTCGGTCATGTGTTAAACAATCAGAGAAAGAACTTAGCATTAAACAATTGAAAAAATTTCGTATACAAATAGCTGCTCTGAATGAAACATGTATATACGATTCTGGTGTTAAATTAATTAATGATTATATAATGATTTACTCTGGTTTAGGTGTGCACCAGTGCTAGTAACTGGGTCCCAGTCACAACTGGGTACTTAGTCATTTGACGTTTATTCCGCTAATCTATCAGTACTTCCCTCTTTTCTAAGGATGTAGGTGTGGGGGTTGGTTTGATTTTGGTATGGGTGTCGTTATTGTCATTCTAACCATTCTCGCATCCAAACAACATCCACGCCCACACCCACCCACCCACATCTACACCGTAGCCATACCCACACCCTGAAGACATGAAATTCATTTATAGTATTCTAAATTATAACGATTGATATATAGAAATATATGATTAGCCAATGGATTCAGTATTATAACTTATATCACTACTTCAACAGCCTAAAAATCACTGTATGACAATATACTAGAAAAGAAAGTACTACTCGACTAATGGACTAAAGATCAAAGGACTCAGTACCCAGTTCACCTGTCAGAACTGGGACTGGTGCATCCCTACTCTGGTTTATCTTCTGATAACAAGACCAGAAATGCACATGGAGTGGCAATTTGTCTTGATCAGACAGCCACAAAGGTTTGGAAGGACTCAGGGTCAGAGTGGAAGGCAATTTCTGAAACAATTTTGAAAATTAGATTTAAGTGTTCTCAAATTAATATAACTGTTGTAGCTGTAGACTCACCAGTGAATCCAACAAATACACCGATGGCTGATGAAAGTGATAAATTTTATGCAGATTTACAAGATACTGTAAATAGAATTTCTACTGAAGATATGTTAATTATCATGGGAGACTTCAATGCAACAATAGGAGAAAAACAACAACATCAAAATGTATGTAATTGTATTGGACCGTTTACGGTTGATAAGGAGAATCAGAATGGAACAAGGTTAATTGATTACTGTGCGATTAACGATTTCATTGTTTCGAACACGTTTTTCAAGCATAAGTTCATACATCAGACTTCCTGGATGCATCCTGGAACAAAGATTTGGCACATGCTTGACTATACACTAGTCAACAAAAATTGAGATCGAGTATTGAAGATGTAAGAATGCTTATAAGTGCAGCTGGAGCCATAGGAACTGATCATCATTTAATGCGTGTTAAAATCAAATTACATTTGAAAAGTCGAAAGAAACTAATGAAACAGAGAAGAGTTAAATATGACATTACTAAATTTAAATATGATAAAGCATTAGAATCGTTTCAATGTGATCTCTGTGGGACTATATCTGATGCATCTGATGCATCTGATGATACAATTAGTATTGATGAAAAATATTCATTATTCGTGGAACATCTGAAAGTAAATGCAGAAAAACATTTTAAATTAGACAAGAATACTAATTGAAAAAGAAAAGAATGGCTCACGGACAAAATATTACAAATCCTAGATCAGAAATCATTAGCTTTCCTAAATGGGCAGAGTCACCGTGGCACCAATTTAGAAACAGAAACCAGAAATAAGTATCGACATCTTAGAAAATTAGCTAACGAGGAAGGTACCCGAAGTGATTAATCAGTTTGAGTTCAAACTCTGTGCACAAGGTAGACCCCAGTAAGGTGCGAAAAAATTCAAAAGGATAAGGGCCCATAGACCTTTCCTCCAGAGTTATAGTCATTTTACTGGAATTTTAGCCTATAGCATGGTATATACTAACAAATCGAATGACGATATTTCGGTCTGAAATCTTACCTACAGATAGGTCTACTTGTAACTAGAATGCCCTGAAATTTTCAGCTAAAAGATATGTTTTCTTCATGAGATATCAAATCTCCAAAAATCAATCATATTTCATGAAAGATGTGAGAGGCTCCTNTTAAATTAGACAAGAATACCAATCGAAAAAGAAAAGAATGGCTCACGGACAAAATATTACAAATCCTAGATCAGAAATCATTAGCTTTCCTAAATGGGCAGAATCACCGTGGCACCAATTTAGAAACAGAAACCAGAAATAAGTATCGACATCTTAGAAAATTAGCTAAGAAGAAAATTGATGCACGTCAAATTGAATACTGAGATGAAATTTGCGAAGAAATAGAAAACTCTATTAAACTGAATGATCCAGCAGCTGCTTTCTCTATCATAAGACGTTTACGCGGTGCAAGTAAACAAGTTGAAAACACGCCAATTAAAGATAAGAACGGCAAACTACTTTTGAACTCATCAAATCGACTACAACGATGGCATGAATACTTTGATGAACCACTTAATATTCCATCAATAGTCGATCAAAAACTTATTGATGAAATTCAAATTGATGCATTATCTAAAGAAGAAAAGAGACAAAATGCTGAACCATCCATAGAATAAATAAGAAGAGTATTATCTCAAATGAAATCAATGAAAGCACCAGGAAATGATGAAGTAACAGCTGACCTTCTGAAGGCTGGAGGAAAACCAGTTATTCGCTGGCTCTACGAAATATTTGTTGACATATGGAAGAGTGAACTGATGATGCAAGATTGGAGCTTAGCTATTCTTATTAGCTTATACAAAAAAGGAGAAAAACAAATGTGTGACAATTATAGAGGAATTTCACTGTTGAATGTAACAAGTAAAATATTTTCTCGTATTATATTGAATCGTATTCAAAATATGATCGATTATCAACTCTTAGAAGCACAATCTGGTTTTCGAACACAGAGATCAACTGTTGACCAAATACACATATTGAAAATCACAATGAAGAAACGTAGGGAATTCAACAAATCATTATTCATGTGTTTCATTGATCTCACAAAGGCTTATGACTCCGTCAATCGTGATCTTCTGTGGAGAGTCTGTCGCAAGTATGGCATATCAGAGAAATTTGTTAATCTATTGAAAATGCTCTATAAGAACTCAAAGGCAAAAGTGAGAATTGAAGGTGAATTATCGGATAGTTTCTTAATTGAAACTGGAGTTCAACAAGGTGGTATACCATCACCAATCCTGTTTAACATTTTTTTTTGATTTTATCATCAGAAAAGTTATAGAAGAGGTTGGTATTGCTGGAGTCAAATTTTCCTATGATAGTAATGAATTTTTTCACGCCAAACGGGAAACCTATGAAACTTTTAACATCTTGACACTACTTTATGCTGATGATCTTGTAGCTATGTGTGAAACAGCATCTGATCTAGCAACATTCATTCGAACATTTGAAAAAGTGACTCAAGAATTTGGATTGACAACGAGTGTTAAAACAACATCTATTAGGACTTTACAACAGTTTGAGGAAAATCAAAATCGAAAGATTTTAAAACAGAACGAAATGATCTTTCCTGATATTGACATTACAATTCGTAACCAAAAGATAGAAATTGCTGAGTCTTTTACGTATTTAGGTTGCAACATCACTAGAGATCAGAAGCCAGATAGCGAAATTAACACAAGATTAACCAAAGCTGCCATTGCATTTAATATGTGAAGACATGTGATGTGGAACCGAAAATCTGTCCCAATCAAATCAAGACTACGAGGTTTTCGTGCTTGTGTTCTTCCAGTTTTACTTTATGGAAGTGAAACGTGGTCAATTACCGATCAACATGAACGCAGAATTGCTACATTTTATATGAAATGTCTATTTATAATTATCGGTATAAATCTATGTGATAGAATGTCAAATGAAAAACTATTAGAAATCACTGGTCAACCACTAATTGAGAATATTCTAGGTAGAAATAGATTGAGGTGGTTCGGATATGCAAATAGGATGATGAACAGTAATGGTGAGTCATCAGTGGTGAAAAAGATTAGATTTTCATATTTTTCTGAAGAGAAAAGATCTCGAAACATTGGCATAAGAAAAAGTTGGGAAGATAAAATTCAAAATGACATACAAACTCTGAATGTTACCAACTGGAGAAGACAAATTCTCGATAGAAATCAATGGCGTGATGTAATTAACCGGAACACTCAGACCATATCTATTCACCCAAATATAAAAGATAATATTTTTGAGTATAAACAACGAGCAGCTGAACGAAAAAGAAGAAATTTAGCAACAGCTCATGGAAGAGTACAGAAAAAAAGTAACAGAAGTATAAAAGAAGAACACTGCTGGTAAATACCAATGTCCTGGTTGTGGCAAATTGTTTATGCCTCAAGGTGTTACGAAACATGTTAAAGCTTGTGCACAAGACTGGTGTACAAAGAACAAAATTGAATGAATGAATTAATTGAACAGCTAATAATGATTTTTAATCGTCTATTGGAACTTGAACTTGGTGAGAATGATGGCTATCATTTAAACTGGTATCGGAGGGTGATGTCCTGATAAATAACTTAGCTCAACTTTCAGTAGCGATCAATAGAATATTCGTCAAATAATGCACTTTCAGTATTCTTGTGTTTTTTGCAATTTGTTTGTATTCTCACCCTACAGCGGAGACGGTAATGGGTCGAACTAAGTAACTAACAATTTTGTGTATTGCACATGAAATCTCAAATTCACTTTTTCTGTTTCAGAAGATATTGCATGACATCTACGGATAGGATGAATAATCACTAAATTGCATAAGCCGCAGTGTCGTCCATGCTAATTTGACTCTCAAGTGTTTTGAATTAGACAATTTAATGTCAAGAGATGCGTGTTGATAATACCTATGTCTGGTGAAGAAAAGAATTGCAGTATCGCAGGCTCTACTGAAGAAAATTCCAAAATATTGTCATCCATGGCAAGATTATTTCTCGAGTTTCGACAGTTTTGAGCTATAACGCTTCTTTCACTAGTTATATTTGTAACTTAAGAGAGAGTTCGCCACAGGACCATCATAGGGCACCGAAGAAAAAAGTTTTAATATTCGATTTAGTTATCCCAAATGAAAGTCCTAGTCAAAGTATAGTGAAATCCAAAAGATTAGATTCATTTGGTTTTACCTATGAAAAATGCGAGCTAAGAGAAGTATAAAGGGCTATTTTGATCCTGGAAAATCGCTATCCTGTAGGTGTGTTCAATATTTTGACATTATTTCACGAACGACTTGGCCATTTGAGCCCAGAGACGTCTCATTCGATAGAGAATAGTATAGGCGGTAAATTTATTTCATTCAAGTGACTAATATAGAGGGTGAAAGAAATGCTATAGGTCAAAAATCGCCCAAATCTCAAGAAATCCGATCTTCTGAGATGGCGATATTTTGAACTTTTCTTGAGTGCTACAAGAGATCGTAAAGTTCTTTTTTTCATTATACATAGATCTAGTAAGGACACATCTTTTAACATTTAATCGTCAGGACTAATAACTCTGGGGCCAAGTTAGCATGAGCCACAATGTGGACTATGCTAGCCGGTGACTGCTGACCCCACCTCTCAGAGTTATACAATCATGAGTTCACCATATATATATGTTGCAGTTGAGTTTGGAATCTAGTTGAGATTGGAATCGTTTAGTTTATTTTGTTTGTTTATAGATTTCGTTATCACGCACACATGAGAATTTGTTTGTTTCTTATCAAGTTTGTTTTTTGTTATTTCTTGGATAATGAAAATAGATTCATATTTTATTTGGTTGATAAACAGTTATCCCTGCTTTTATTTATTGTTTTCTTGTGTGACTGTATAGATTAGTCATGGTATTGATTTCAGTGAAGTTTTAAAACGTAATAATGCTGGAAGATGATTTGCTATAACACTATTTCTCGCTGAATTCGTACGAATTACAGTTGAAT